GATATGGCGATTGCACGCTGCACAATGGTGATCTCCAGACCGACCCTAAAAAAGAGTCGCTCGTTTCTCTCTGCTTCATTTGCTATTTTACGTTAGTGAGTCCGCTGTTGTGGCCAGGTGGCCGCAGGGATGGTACTGTCATGCTTCCGTTGCGCCACTGCAATCTGCTATCTGAATTTCTTGTGCGCGCAAGGTCGTACTAGAGAGCCAGACAGGTTGTGAACGGACGTGAATGTTGGCCAGGCTTTCCGTAGGACGGGAACTTTCGCGCGGAAGAGCGGTAAACTTTAGCGACTCATCTGTCTACGGGGTGCAATCCGTCGTACGTGGTACATACCTACCTGTCTGCTTAAATTGCTGCTTCGTGTAGGAATGATTCGTCGTGCGACTACTAAAGCCGCAATGTGAACGTATAAAGCAGTCGAGAATCGTATTAACGTACTTCGCTGTAACGTACGTATTTCACGTATATAATATTGTTAACAATTTTGCAATACTAAGACTTGCGTGTCTGATGTCTCTCTCTGTTAAAACTTATCAATCTTAATAATAAGCGTAACGTTGTTGCCTCTTTACCTACTTTTTTTATATCTAAATGCATAAATTAGTTTTGTCGTAATAAATATGCGTTAATCATAAATAATATAAGAAGATAAGATTTTCTTGCAATTATTTCTTGCGATTTTTTTCTATAATAAAATATGCAGCTTTAAATTTTAAAACGGGAAAATTTGTTGAAACTTTTATTCAAAATTCTTGATTGCCAACAAGAAGGCGTGACACGTACTAACTGAAAGTTTCAAATACTCGTTATCAAATTTAATCGGAAACTTCGGTATTATCAGTCTCCAAGAATAAACATTTTTAGTACTTGTGTTCGTCGCGTGGGTCTGTTTGCTACCCCTATTCTATAGTTCATTGATGTTCTTTGAACTCTTCGTTCTTGTTTAACCATGTCACGCGCAACAGATTCGTGTTTCCGGAACAAGTTCAAAGCTTTCCCGGGTCTCGCATTGCCGACGAAGCGTGTGGCTTTTGTACGCGTATCGTTCCACGGACGACATTCCATGAGCGACGAAGAGCGATACAACCGATATCACGAATATTTACTTACATCGAAGACGATACGAATAACAGAAAACGGATTCCTCCCCTCCCCTCCCCTCCCCCTTCCCCCCTTCTCTCGCGATTGCTATTGTAAATTTGCTGAGAGTCTTTGAGCTGCATGGCTCACAAGTCGTTTTTGACGGATTTTCTTTGATTCTAGAATGTTAGAAGAATAAAGCGAAATAAGAAAGATATGTTTTGTTATTTTCTTACGGATTTTACTATATAGATTAATAATTTGTGATACTTGTATCGTTTCTAAGGATAGGTGCAATGTCTCTACCATGACCAACTGCAATGATTGTGCCTTGAAAGTTGACGCATCAAGTAACAATTTGAAATGATTTCTTGTCAGGTGTGTGAATTATTGGGCACTTGGAAATGCCGCTTACGGATTCCTTCTTTAGTCTCCCATCAGTCTCTTTATACGTCTTATAGAAATATCTTCATTAAATTTTTTTATCAAAGAAGAATTTTTTTATAAATAGGGCGTTATACACGCGTTAGATTAGAACTTTTTAAAAGATTATAATTATCGAAATAGATTATTGATAGTATAGTATTAATATGATTGAATAAAACATTTTGATATAATGATTTATGTTATATTTTATGGTATGGTAATGAGAACAGCTTGCATCTTGGGCGATTTTTAGTAGCGAGTAATACGATTTTGCGGCATCATTGAAGCAAATCGTATCGGATTGGTGCCCCACGTGTGCACGTATGTGCATGTTATTACATCTCGGTACATTGCGCCAGCTCAACGTGTACCGGGTGCCCCCTAATTTCTAAAACGATAACATTTAAGCACGGTTTATTAACGCACATTTCGTTAGCTCTCGTTTATATGTTTGCAAAAATAAAAAAAGACGTAAAAAAAATTAACAAAATTGTAGAAATCGTTAATCAATAGTTGAGATTATAAAACACATTATCTTTGGTATTAAAATAGGCAGCTGTTTTGTTCTAATTAAGAAAGTTCTATTTAAAAAAAATTCACATAAAATCAACATCTTCATGGCATGTTCAAGTAACACATATAAATGATTGAACGCTCGTGAGAACGCTCGTTAAGTTAATTTAAGATTTGATCGGCAATTTTGCCCTATTTGACAACTCAGCCCGTTGCCTGGAGAATACAATCGTCGGTGCACTTTTGACCTGTGCGACCTTTCGGCCCAATGCGACCTTTCGTGCCTATTTCATATCTCCCGTAAAATGAGATTAATACCGTTCATCGAGGCGGACATCGAGTCATCATTTGTTACGTTCGGCAAACTTTATTCGTAAAAGTCGTATTGAATTATTATGTCTTGCATATATTTTGGTCACAATAATAAAAAGCATTATTTTGAGGCATTATTTAAAGACTATTTGTCTGTATTGTACTTGTCACATATTATCGAGCCGCGATATATATACGAATGGGTCCAAATATTTGACACTTTCCATTTGCGTAGCAACATAAAGATACCATAGCAGTTGTGGGCTTTAAACTGCATAATGATATTCGTTGAATCACGAGCACAAATGACAGGTATTGACTATATTTTATATCGTGCATGAATTTCTCATTTACATGTCAATAAACGTTTTTTTCTATTCACTTTATTAACTTTATTCGTTTTGCACCACTCCCTATTCCATATTCACATTGTGTATATAATATATCGAATCCGCAGGAAAAGATATTGAAATTTACAAAATTAATGAGAGATTACGAAAATGGAAATAAATGATAAAAAGTATGTAAATAATGCATTTTGCCGTAACGTGAAATAAAATTTCTTTAAACGAAAGACAGAGAGCAATCTAATAGGCTTAATGGGTGTACTCTTATTATCCGGAATTGGTTAGGTGGTGCAAATTCCGCGCGACTGATATTGGAGCTGAAGCGGCAAATCGTTTGATACGTAGTATCATCGTCGAATGTCGGTCTTTTTATGCGGTGGACGATGCGCAGAGAGTTAGCCGAAGCAAAGAGGCGAACTGCATTTCTCGCAAAAATTCAGTACGATGCTTCTTGCACGGCTGCCTTTGTGAATCGAGCGTTCGTGCGTGCGAACTCATGGCGAGTGCATGCTGATGCGCATGCACGACGACGTATGCACACGCCGAGTTCATTTGTTATCGGCACAATGGACAGTAGAGGATTGCCTTACTCCCTATACATTCGCCATGTGTGAGAGCTTCCTGTATTTCTCGTATGTATGGGATATGCGTTTCTCGTATCTGCAACATACTCACGCGTAATAAGCGTCACGTTAATCACCGCGCGTCAAACCGCGCGGATTATTTTCCATTACGGCCTCACACGGGACGCGCGTGTACACGCGTGTGAAATGAAATGATAAATATTAATATTAAAAGTTTAATTATCTTTCGAATTAATAGCATGAAATATATTATGTACTTTTAACCGCAGCTTTATTTAAAGCATGTCCAAATATTTATCGAGTTGGGGGATGACCGCTGGATTTTCTCAATTATACAGAGTATACACGTGGTAATATTGATTATTGATAAAGGAAGTTGTGACAGCACTGGAGTAATCACACATTTTGTTTTTTTGAAATTTTATCTTTATGAAAAATAACAAGTTTTTTACGTTCGACAAATCAGATCTAAAAATCCCTACCCTTAATTTCGTTTCTCGAATAGAGTTTGCAAAAATATATTATTTATCTTTAATTTGAAACTTTGTAATTTTTAAGAAAATTTGTGTGTCTTGTCAATCAAAATTCACGTCAAGTCTCTATTAAGATAATTAGAGTATTCGTTAGCTATTTAATCCCTCGAAACTGGATTCGCAGAAAGGCTAGGAATGCTTTAATTTTCAATGACAAGTACCTAATCAGGAGTTATTAAGCTTTCGTTAAAGAAGATTTTAAATTCATCAAAGTGTTTGTAATGAAAAGGGAATGTAATTATAATTTTAATTGCGGCGAGATTTTGGAAAGTTTTCGCGGGCTGCTAATTATCCGCCGTGGAATCGTGAAAGCGATATGCGTTTATATAAATATTTCACACGTTAATTCTGATTTCAGATGCAGAGAGCGGTGCTACTGCTCTGTTGGCTGCCGCTCCTCAACCACTGCCACGCCGTAAATCCAGGTAAATATCGATTTATTTCTAAAACGACGACGTCGGCGAGCGTATATTGCCAGACCGGGGGTGTTACTCTACGTCTGATGTTACCGGCTGCAAAATCTCGCGGATTCTCGCAAAGGGGCCACGCTAGATTTTATTATTCCGGATAGGCGATTCCTTCCCCCCTCCCCTCCCCTCCCCCCGACACGCTTCGGCGAAACGGATTACTGTTAACGCGAACCGATATTGCATACGTCGGTTTAAGGATCCGTTATCGTGCGAACGTAAGCCGCATTTACGTGGCGCATCGGGCTTAACGTATAGCCGGACGTTAGGTGCCCGAACGCATTAGTATCCAGGCAACGTGTCCGACAAAAACAATGCCCCTGTTACCACGAGCCGCCGGCTTCGGAGCCGCCAGCTCTGCTGGCGAAGTCACGAATTGCAGCGATACATGCGTCCCGCTTGTTCTCTCATGTCTCGTGTATATTACACGACGGGATGTGAGATGTGAGATATGGTGACCGTCGATAACACTCATAGACATATAATTATAACAGATGGACGGATAAAATGCCATATATTCGTATATGGAAATCGCGAGGCATAAATGAAGGGAAGCGAAAACGGCTTTATTATTTCAGCGCCGGCGATAATTATGCGCGATCTATCCATTACCCGATTTCCTCTTTAGCCACTACAGTACTTTCCGGAGTAGCGTGAATATTAAGCTGTATAATAAAGCAAAGTTGTACATATATATATATATATATATATATATAGATATGATTGTGATGATAATAAAAGACGCGTAATGCGGACAAAGAAATGGGTAAGCTCCGATGAAATATACCATCTGACTTTGGTACCCATTCGTAAGCCGGGGGGCGAGTAAAGCGCAAAGTAATAACGCGCGAGATTCGGGCATGCCAGATTTATCGTGGCAACACACACCACTGACGTGACGGGAACGGTAACGAGGCTCAACGACAGCTGGTGCACGGCCCACTTCTCGCGAGTGAGAATACGTCCTACACGTACCAGTTTCCATACGTACACAACGAATACGCGATAACTGCGCAAACTTTTATCGGCAGACAAGATTCTCATTTGCAATCTTGAACAAGTATCGTCGCACTTTGGCGCAGATTTTATTGAAAGATGAATCAACGATTATTTTATTTCTTTTCATTGTTTAGAAGTTAAATCGGAGAATCCATCTATATTGTGTTCTATATTGTCCTATATTCTCACCGCAGAGTTGGCAACCTGCTATCGATGAGGAACGTCAAAGAGACACTCGATGAAACAGTCAGTCTGTGCGACAAATCCGGACCGGTCGTTATAAAATTCTGTATATTAAAAAAAAAAAAAAGGAAATGGGAATGCACGTTTTCGAGGTAGAACCCTACGGCTGTTCTACATGACCATCTCGCAATCCTCGAATATCTGTCACTGCGGAAATTCAATTTCAGAGATCACCGCAGTGACAAGATTAATAGTCGGCTGTTCCGCAACTAAGTTGTGAAAAAATGAATTATTAACGAAAAAGGAGAAACGGGCCGATACGCTGCGTAATAGTGATGGAAAGTCGATACTCCAAATGAGTTACTTCTTCTACCTCGACTCTAGGATATAATTCTCATCATTCTACGAATATACTGTTATAATTGCAACTTGATATAAAACATAACTGCTTGCAAGATTATAATTCATATTTCTGTAAAGAGCAGATTTTACAATTCGAATTATTTAAATGGTGTCATTACGAATAATTTTTGAAAGGAAGTGAATCTTCTCGAGGACAAAGGAAAAGTTTCTGATATAAAAATATATTTGGATATTATCGTTTACTATTTAAATAATAATATTTTAATGACATGAAAGATATTATAATAACCTGCGTATGTTTCGTTTCACCGAACAATGCCGAGAACTAGTTTCCGTATTGTTTCGAGGGGACAGCTTCATTCTTCAAAAATCCACGCAATCTTCCGTATGACTGAAAAAGATGAACGAGGTGTTGGGGCACAACAGAAATTCTGTGAAAATTACAAACTTTATCTTGACTTTCTTCTTGTTTACATACTTAAAAAAATTATTAAAATATGAAGTACGACATAAGAATAAAAGAATTACTGTTGTTTTTTTTTTTGATCGGTTGATATTTTATGGTACATTCGATGTCTTTCAGTGTGTTTTTTGCAAAAGCCTCGACACGTAAAAGGGTGCCTTGCCGATGAATAAAGGCGATGCGGGTATTGACGAGATTCCGCTTGGTTGAACTGGTAAAGAAGATTTCGCTACTTTCTGGTATCGCACGACGGTTCTCGTGGTTAGAGCGAGGTTTCGTATAGCAAATTGGAGAATAGGCGAAGGAGAAGTTAGACAGATGTAATGCAGCATAAAGGTAAAGAAAAGTTGCGGACTTATCGACAAACTTTTTCGAGTATCTTGCTGCATCTCTTACCTAAGACGGAAGTCCGCTTGTATCATCAAACGTGACATTTTTACAAGCTTACAAGTTCTGTCACAGCATTTCTTTGAATAACACTTTGGTACGTATATACCGAAACGAAGTATCGTTGAGATTCAACTCGCCCGAATGAGCAAAGGGTCTCGGTTGCTATCGCGGCTTTTAAGAGTCGTCTCCCTAGACTCGAGATTACGTCGTCGAGGTCCCGTGACACATAAATGCGAATGCTGGAGATTGGAAAGAACTTACTGTAAGTCGGATAGTAAATATTGCAAACTGTCTTCGTATTTTTCCGTTGTATACGTTATGCATTTTAACAAGAAAACGAATATATATATATATATATCTTTTTGAATGATGTTTTGAAGATTTTCCGCGCGAAATTAAACATATTTCTTTTGGAGTGGGACATAAAAATTTTCTGCATAAAATAATTTACCCAAAGAAAGATGCGCGCAACATTCCGCCTAGCTGAGTTGACGAATACGGTTGATGAATACGGGTCTCCGCTTACAGTTGCTTTGGAAATTATCGCACGTTTGGAATTATGGCGTTCACGGAATTATCGCGTATTTGTTTTCGATAAAGAATATTTCAGAGAAAAAAATTTCGAGCGTGGTAATAATAAAATCCGTGCTAAAAAGTTTATTCTGTTTTGAATATTGCATTAAATTGAGCTGGCGTTAAATTATCGGTCATCGTGCTATAGACAGCGTGAATCAACGCTGCACTGCTCTTAGCTTTGATTCAGGTGGACAAGGGCAGTCGCCATTGTGGCTTTTGCAGATTGTCGATATCGATGCGGGGTTTGTCATGGTGAACTATCATTAGCGGAAGAGGTTGGGTGGATCACGAACGATACTGTAACCAGTTTAGACGAGAGTGTTCCTGTGCGTTGGTAATCATCCGGTTGCATGTTCGGCAAACCAGTTGCTTTTACGGACGGCTCTTACACATACGTCGATGCGCGAAATCGGTCAATACCAGCCCTTTGTACAACAATCGGGAACTTGGCAGATACACGTCAGTCGGTTAAACCATCTTGCTTCCGGCAACGTGCGATCTGTATGCATCATTGAAACCTCCCCCATCAAATTGCACGATATCATAGTTGATCTTTCCCACCGTCTGATATTCATCCACCATGTAACACATCCACGTGTCTTTTACTGTCACTTTTAACAAAATATTTAAATTCTTATTGAGAAAACGAATTATTTTTTCATCTTTATGTCTAGAAGATGCAATCAACGCAATTGCATGATTTTTTTAATTTACAAATAGAAACGATACATACGAATATTGAATATTTTATTAATTGAAACTAATTAAATTTTGGTCATATATTTTCTGCTTTAATTCTCGAAATAAAACGATAACGAGATAGCAAATGCGGAGCAGCGTTATTATATTTTTTGCTAAGTTAA